GTTGCAAGTCGGTCGTCTTTCGTGCGTCGGAGAGCTGTTTGGAGACGATAGTAGCCAGCTTGAACGACTGACCCAGTAGCTTCGCGACCCACTCTGGTTCGCCGCGGAGGGCATGCTTCAAGTGCGAGCTGGCGATCTCATCGGCACCCGCTGCCCGACTCGTCAACGTAACCAAGCTATACAGACAATCCAAAACGCGAATAAAAGAGAGGAAGCAGGAGGAGGATGTCTGCGGCTGCTCGTCGATATCCATAGCGTCTTGGTCGTCCGCAACGGCTCTCTTCCTCTTAGTCCCCTTCCTGTCGTCATGCGGTGAATCGCCCAACGTATCGCTCGACTCCGAGCCAAAGCGCAGCTCATCAGCCTTTCCATTCTCGAGAGTTGCGAAAATATCTTCCTCCAGATCTGCAATCACGTCGCTTAATGACGGTAGGAACTTCTGGTCTTTGAGTATGGTCGCCAATGTCTTTGGAGGAATCAGATCGATCAACTGTCGCAGGAGGAGAAACGAGGCCGGTTCAACACGATGACTTTTTCCAGCCCGCAGCTTCTTCAACAACCACCGGAGAACCCATTCTTCTTTCGGGGCGGCATTGGTCTGAATATGTCCGTTTCGATTGATTTCCGGATGTGTTGCACACAGCGTCAGATCAAGGCCGATGATCTGAGCAGCGTCGTTGATCTGTGCTAAAGGTGAAGCGGTGCCTTTTTCGAGCCGCAGTAGAGTTTCTTGCGACGAGCGCGGGCGCTGTATATAGCAAAGCAACACAAGATCAGCATACGCACTCCGCAGAAGACAAGTCTGAAAATACAAACCTCCGCGACTGACGGCATCTCGTCCGAGATCTATGCAGACAGAACTCCCCGTCCGTCTCTCCCAAATCAAAAGAAAGGAAGAAAAATGGGGTGTTCTTTGCTTCGTTATCAGATAAATCCAAAGGGGAAAAAAAAGTTGTGATACCTTAGTCGGCGGACCCAAACTGACGACAGAAACCCGCCCAAGCCTATTTTTTCCGACCGCCTTTGCCCGCCGAAGCTCGATCGACGTCGCTCCCCGACTCGTTTCATCATCTCCTTAATTTGGTTATCAATTCACTCGCGTGACAGTTGCACAAGTCTATTGCTGAATGTCGGTTGCGAACCCGCCCCTGCTCATGACTGCCATTATACTAATGAGCCAACCTCTAGATCTTCCGCAATGGCCGACTCCAACGAATCCCAGCCGGTTCTCCGGTCCACCAAGCCCGTCAGCGAGGCATTGCTGAACGAGAAGGTACGATCATGCTTTTATGACTTCCTTTCCGTTTGTGTCGTCCGCCTGGCTCAGACTGCAAGGGGTCGATTGTGACAAGAGTCCGAATGCAAGCCGATTGCATACAATTTCTGCGTCCAATGGCTAACATGACTGTTACGTTGTTTACAGTGGGACCGCGCCATTTCCTCCATGATCATTCGTTCCTCCCTCGGTCTCTCCTTTGGCGTTGTGTTTTCAGTCCTTCTCTTCAAGCGGAGAGCTTGGCCCGCGTGGGTTGGTCTGGGTTTCGGAGCTGGTCGTGCCTGGGAAGAAGCCGACGGTATGTGCAAGGCCATTGATGATCGGTGCCAACGATAACGAACAAGACGAAGTACGGCGGCTAACACAGTTCTAGCTTCCTTCCGTCGGGGTGATTCTCCCGTTAGAGATGCGCTGCGTAAATAGAGATTGGTTTAGCAATTTATCATGTACGATACCTGCATAGGTGTTGAAAACAAGTTCGGTTGAGGCGCTTTTCAAGTAGCTTAGAGATGTTCCAGGCTTTATTTACCTTTCAGCATGCATTATATCTTGTCGTCTTACTCCCTCTGGAATGTCGCTTGTCGACTTACCCGAGCATATTGCGGCTATTTTCGCCAGAAGAGCACAGGATAAATTCCTGGAGGAATGACGATGTTTGCGCCTAGGTAGCTTCCATATGATTTGAAATACTAGAGCAGTAGACTGTCTGCGTTCTTTGCCTTGAGGCTACTCTAAGGCCTCTATCGATCCCGGAGCAAAATAGACAAGAAAAAGACCCGTTCTTGCATTGAGTACGCGTTCAAGACGCGGACTCCGAACGAGAAACTGAGAAACCACAACACCGGGAATGTACCTCCACAAAAGAGGGGAGAGCTTTCGAAAAAGGAAAATTCAGAGAAGGCATGGACGCAGTCCAAGCGAGAGCTATGCACAGAAGAAAAGAAGGAGAATCAGGAGCTCTAAGATCCAGCATCTATTAGGTGGGTATCGGAGTCATAAGTTTTCGAACGCCAGGTTCAGCATTAGAAGAGAAATGGGGCAAAACATTCTATTTAGCGATGTGCAACAAAAGGCACCATCAATCGCTAAATCTCTAGAGCATTGGGTTTGGTGATTGAACGGTGGCATGTGCGTGCCCGGGTACGAGCGGCGAGCCGACGCTCTTATGCTCTGCAGAAGGACTGGATTGAGACAAATCGTTGTTCTCAATCGTTGAAGACTCGACCGCAAGGCCATTGTGACCACTATGTGTGAGACAGCCAACGCAGGCACAATCGTTGCCGCAGAGGCAACTGCCAGTCACATCCGAGCAAGCACTGGGGAGTTGCACAGGATATTCGATGGTGTAATATTCGGAAGGTACCATCAGATGTTGCTCTGAAGCGTACTCTGTAGAAGGCGAGTCGCCATTTGGACTGGAGTTGTCGATGTTTTTGCGCATTGCGCCTGAGTGGTTTTCGTGGCCGAAGTGGTTGAAATTGGTCAAGTTGTAGTTGAATGAAGTGGCATCGGGGTTGCCATTTGAGTGCAAGTTCCGGTAGCCATTCAAACTCTCGAAGCTCGATTCCTCGCCATCAAGCGTGACTAAGAGACCCATTTCTTGAACGTGCTGTCTGGTAGTGTTATTAAAGGGATGGGTGGCGCATCCTAGACACTGACAACTGTCCCCACAGTTGCAGTCATGCTTCAGCTCTCCGCTGAATGTTGCATGTGGGGAACCAAGAGTTTGTGTCTGACCCGACGTGGGCTGTGATAAGGTGCCGTGGAAGAACCCATTACCGTTGGAGACATTATGTTGCGAGAAACTCGGCTTTGAGTAGTCTAGCGTCGGTTGAGGCATGTAGTTCGGCATGACCCCAGGCTGTCCGAGTGCCTGATTCTGTAAAGGGTAATGCGACGAGTAGTCATTCTGGCCAGCTGTATAGAAATGCTGCCAGGATGAGTCCTGTGGAGTCGAAGTTGGTGGATACATCGCGCCATCCGAGTAGGGCTGATATGATGCAGTTTGCGAATTCATAGGCGAGTCATTCTTTCGGCAACAAGAACTCTGAGTTGGAGCGGGGACTGTTGCTGGCGGCTTTGCAGAACAGCAGCTACTCTTTTGGGACCCTGTGCTCTGGACGTTATCGAATGCCTGCTGAGCCATAAAAGTAGGTGGAGTGATGAATCCCGAGTTTGTAGCGGCGCTCGAGTTGCTAGCAATACCGAGTCCTGCGTCATATGGTGAATATGGCGGCAGATGGCTAAAGACTCCATTCTCGCCGTGCCTGTTCTCAAATCCAGACGTAGGGGTGAAACCACTGGCGAAATTCTCAGGACGTGGTTGGAACGTACTGGCCCTTCTCTCGCACTGCTGGCTATCACCTGTGGACGGTAGTTGCGGAGTCATGGGGGCGACAGAGAGTGGATTTTGAGCCGGAACATGTTCGCCCATGCTGGCAGGCACCTGATATACTGGCCTACATAGGCAGGTAGATCCTGGATACTGTCAGCCTCCAGAATCCTGAAGGCAAAAAGATGGTGCGGTGGAAGGTTCTCTCTTCCGAGTCATACTAACCTTTGGGTATAGCAATCATAAAGGCGCACTCCCGCTGACAACTACACTTGCCTTTGGGATGCGGACATTTGGCAAGCGGACGCCCAGCCTTTGGGACTTTGATCATCAGTCTGTCGAAATGCTGGCATTTCGACGAGCGATGGCCACGAATACATGGTTTACTGCATAGACAGGCTTAGCAACACCGGAGGACATCCCAACAGTGAACTGAAGAGTCAGGCCTTACCATGACCATTTGGCTCCCTCTTCATCAAGAGGCATGGTTGCAGTTGGTTAATCTCAACCCAGCCTAGACCATATGTTGACTGCCAACCTCTTGAAATATGGGCTGAACGACAGATATGTCCCTCGGTTGGATCAATTGACTCTGCAATCGTCGGGAATTTGTTACCCCACTTTAGCAAATGACTAGCGCGTCAAAGCTCTGATCAAGGACCAAGCGGGGAGAAAAGGGCGGCTAGAAAGTAAATGGAATAATACAAATCGAAACCTTCTGGGTCAAAGGCACAATTTGCGAGGTCCGTCCTAGGGGATAAGAAAAAGAATCATCACAATGACCAGACATATACGGAGTAGAGTACGGAACGATCCGGTTGCTCAACCAAGCGGCGGGGAGTTCAATCTAAGTAGCAACCGAAAATCAGACAAGACGGGGCAGGAGTTGATTTGTCGACTCTCTGCGATCAGCTTTCGGAGGACACCAAGAAGGTAGAATCGAACAGCCAGACTGCACCCTTGTAGGCGCTTGAGGATGCGGGGTGCAATGACGGGAGATAGTCCTAGATAGTGGCAGTAGATAATTTTCCCCTGGAGAGTCGGAACTTGACAAAGAAGCGAAGATCCAATCAGAAAGGAGGAAAAGGCGGCTTTTACGATTTGAGCCTCAGGCATCAAGCCGAGTAACCAGGCATCTGTCCCTGGGTGCCTGAGGCATTCCAGCGGAGGTTATCAAAAAATGCTGGAAACAAGCGGATGCATTGCCAATCGAGCTGCGACTAGCTCCAGGTACCATCTCTTCCGCCCCTGGCGTTTCTTATTGCTATAGATTAGGTATTCTTATACCGGTCTGACGTGAGATACTTCTTTTACGTCCACAGACATTGGCATACAGGGTTTATACTACACCACAACCCAAGTCGAGCCTCTCCCATTCTCCGTCATCCATCCATGTCCCCAGACAACCGTGGCGCCTCCGGCCAGGCTCCGGAGGGTACACCGTCTTCACGCGCTCGGGATTTTTTCTCCGTTCCTGCGCCGATTAAGCGCATCTTCGACCAATTCCCTCTTGTGACCTACCCTTCAAATGACCTTCCTCACCATTCCGGGACAGCCCGACGCGGCAACCGTTTGTTTGTCTTCACAGATGCCGCGAGCGCCAGACGAGGGAGGCCGTCGTTCAACCCGCAATGTCTCAAGTGGCAGGTTAGATGGATGATGGTCAAACTCCTACTCATAATCAATTACTGACTGAGTCTCTCTGAGTACAGGCATACTTGAGATTTGTAGGAATTGATCTAGAAATCGTCCCCTCGAACAACCACGCTTCTCCAACCGGCGCACTTCCCTTCCTTCTCCCCGCGCTGCCAGCCGGCACTACTGCGCCAATTCCCTCGAGCAAACTACAGAAATGGGCCATTGAACAGGTCCACTGTGAGGAAGAGCAGCAATTGGATGTGCGCTTTGAGGTGTATGCCTCATTACTGGATCACCGGATACGAAATGCCTGGGTGCGTAGTGTCCTCGGAATGTATGAAAATCGGGCCTCACTGACGTGAAAAAGCTATACATGCTATACCTGGATCCGAAGAACTTTGAAGCAGTAGCGCGGAGACTATACGTGGATCCGTCGACCAGCAATTGTGCAGTTCGCGCCGCTCTGGCCATGCAGCTCCAGCACGCTGCGCGTGACGAGCTGCTGAAGACCTCGGCTTATGTGGATGTCATCGCATTGGAGGCCGATGCTGCGGACGCATTTGAGGCGCTTTCGACACTACTAGGAGACAACGAGCATTTTTTCAATCGGCCAAATCCCGGGCTGTTTGACGCAAGTATTTTCGCGTATACTCATCTGATATTGGATGAAGGGATGGGCTGGAAGCAGAATCGACTGGGGGAGCTGCTGCGACAGCATGAGAATCTTGTACAACATCGCGACAGACTGCTAAGATTTTTTTAGGGACACAGCCTACTGTATAATATTACTAACCATACTTGCATGCATTAACGAAGCTGCGAAAGAAGACAAGACGCTTGAAATAGACAAATCAAGGCAGAAATCAATGTTCAAATCCGCTTCCTGAAGCACATACCAAACCACCAGTGATCCCAACACACTTCTGCGCCCGCTGACCCAACACCTCGAAGCCTCCGGCCGCGATAGCAGCAAATCGAATCTATCCAGATATACCTTCCGCACGCTTTCATCTGTGTCTGTTTTGCAAGGTGTCTCCTTCCGGACAACCGCACTAGCTACCTCCCACATCCCAGACGCGGCATCAACCCCGATAACTTCGGCATCCCGAGGCGCGAGCCTCAGAAGCTGCAGGGTATTCCGGCCCGTGCCACAGCCCAGATCGACCAATCGGAGTTGTTGCGACTGAGATTGGGAGAGTTTGTATAGACGCGGGCGTAGATCGTGTAGTTGGATGGTTTCCAGTCCCTGGAGGAAGTTCCCGTCTGTGTCGTAGATCTGGTCGCCCCTAAGTCAAGGATTGTGGCTCCTTACCTCTGTCCACTTGCCGTATGCTTCGACTGTGTCCAAATACTGAATAGATCTCCGAGTTCTTCCGTCGCTGTTTAGCACGTGCTTGGAGAATTTCGTGGATTGTTTTGGTCATTTTTGGGTCGTATGTACTTCTAAAGTGTAGTCACCAGGCTGCAGGCAGCACAACGCAGGGTAGGAACGATGTCTCTCATTTGACCTGCTGTAAAGATTAGTCTGCGACCAGTCTAATCAGTGGTTGTTCATGTGAGGTGTGATTCATACCAGTCCAGCAGATGAATCATAAACGTTGAAAGTGGAAACGCAGATATTTCCGGGGTTGCATGCATAAAATGCAAGTTTAATTGAGTGACAGGCGACGTGTCAACGTGGTGTATCACGCTCTAGCCGGGAACCGGTATTCATAGATAGTAACCTTCGTATTCAAAATCATCCTGCATTCAATTGTTGCGATCGTTATCTTTGTAGACTGCCTGACATGACACCATGAGACATCAAAGATCGTGACTCGAACATGGAGAAAGAAAGAAAGAAAGGGAGAGAAAACAGGTTGGGGTAAAAGAAAACGGACCTGACACCGTACCAGACGGGAGTTAAGAAAGATGAAAAGAAATGGAAAGGAAAGAAGCAACCGGGCATTGATCCAAATCCCAGAATTGAGAACAGAAAAGAACCAGTCATAACCGATAGCACCCATACCCAGGAACGCTCCATCGCTGAATAGACAGAAGAGAGAGATTAAAAAGCAAAATCAATCCAGCACATCATGTCCACATGCTAATAGACCGTCGCTCCAAAGGGAGCCGTCTCCTTCAGATCCTCCACTAGGTCCTCCACATTATTGAGATATCGCCCTAACAGAGCCTGCTTCTCCTCGGTCGTGCGCGTATCCCCATGGCCCTTTCCTCCGTGCCCGGGCCCTGCCACATTGAGACTTCGTGAGTACGGACCACCGCCCAGCTTGCTAGGGCTGCGCTGCAAACCACAGACCGCCGTATTCGGAGCACTTGCTCCGATGGGATATGTTGGCGTCTCCGGCATCAGATAGAAATAAAGGAATTCAACAAGCTTGAGTTTGACCTCGCGCGACGTCGCGCGTTGCTTGAATAAGGAAGTCACGGTGAGCAGTCCGTCCAGTTCTTCAAAGGTTCGCGTGTTGGCTGGGTGGTCCAACAAGGCTGTAACAAGGGTGAGAAGGGTTGCGGACTGAATCGCAGGGCAATTGATGGGGTCGAGGAGGTCAAGAAGAAGATTCATGTAGATTTCGCGAGCGAAAAGATTCCGCGATGGCGGGTGCAGGAGGAGAACGCCTTGAATCAGGTCGAGCGTAGAGAGAATGAGCAAGTCATTGGTGCCAGTCCTTCCGCGACCCAGCAGATGCTCCAGGCAGGTCACCAAGCGCATTGCGACTGCTGAATTGTTAGTCTCCAGACAAGCGCGACAACGACCACAACAATCATGGAAACATACCATTCCATTGAAAGCCTTCTTGCAATTTGAAGAATTCTCGAAAGGCCGGGTCATCTTTCAAGTCAGATAGAGCCTTAGGCTCTGGCTGTGGAGCTCCAAACGACAGCAGCGACCTCCGTTTTTCAGACACCGGCTGTTTCGACTTGGATAAACAAATCTGTGCGAGTAGGCCTTCCACCTGGCGCAATCCCTTGCGGACTTTGCTTGGCTCATAAGAAGAGAGATAGTCGAATGAGTGCGCCAACAGCGTCTCCATGAGTGGATAGAATGCGACGCGATATGATATATGATATGAGTAAGTAAGAAATGGAGCCTCAAAGGATACAAACCGAAGGATGAGGATAGTCAGGAAGAAGATCCCTGTAGTCCCGACGCTGAGGAACACTGGAGACAGTAGTGTTATCTATAGCTCGCTAAAAGCCAAAAAGGCAAAATAGAATTCCCTCTCTCTATCTCTCTCTGCTGCTGGGACGTGGATTTAATAATTAAGATTATTATTGATAGTTGGTAGAAAGGGAAGATAGCGCGACCAAGTTGCCCAACTCATCATTGACAATTCATCTGGGCTAACTTACCCAGTCGTAGTCCAGCACCACCATAAGACTCTTAGTGTCTAGGGCCTAAATCCTAATCAGCATCATCATGGGAAGATCGTGCCGATGAATTCCATCATTTTGATCCGTTTTCCCCTCGCTAAGTGGCTCTTCTAGACCGTCTCTCTCCACATCCCAGCCACCCACAGTGTCTAGTCTCTACGGTCTTACAGCCAGGCGGTTGCCCCGGGAAACCTGCGGCCCCATGTACCCGTGGGCGCTTACCCTCCAGCCTGGTGACGAACTAGGATCATCTTGTTGGTGGACAGAGTAGGAGCTTTTCAAGACTCAAGCTATTAATGATGTCAGTCTCAGCTACGCCATGTTCCGTCGGATTAATCTTGTTCAGCTGGGGCTTGGGACGATCTCACGTTTACAGATCCCAGCCCTGGGAAACGGAGAGTTATCAACAATGACACCATCATATCAACAAAAGCACAGCGATGCCTGAAGGTGGAGAAATTCCGAAAAACTCTTTTTTTTTTTTACCAGCCCCTTCGGATTGAATTTAATTATTCCTACTGATGACGGAATTTTTTAATCTCTCCCTTGCCTTGATTCATCCCTTGTTCCTGAGTCACTGCAAGACTGCAAGTATCCTGCGATTCCGAAGGGTCTAGTCACATGACTTGGCTTTCTGCTGCCTTGGCGCCTAACGGCCTAAGGTTCTTCACTGCAAGTCTGATGAATAATGTGGGGTGTCTCAAATTCACGGCGTCACTTGTCCACCATGCATATGGGATGTGCTGGCATACCCACGCGCTCTGTCACCGGCCCTCAGGTATTTGAACAGAGTTTCGAGAATCGTTGATGGATGCAACCACTATCACATTTTTTGTTCCTGATCAGGTTACGTGCATATTTTTGACACGTCGTGGGCAGAGCAACTTTTAAGTGAGAACTGTATAAAGTGCCCCTCATGTCCTCAGGATCTGCGTTTCAACCTCCGATAGAGATTCCAACTCGAAAGAGCTCCGCCGGTATAGCCGACCGTCTGCATACAAACTCATCTGTGATGAATGGAAGCCAGTGGCAAGGCGAGAGGCTTCAGACCAACATGGACTCTTCCAAAAGACATACTCGGAACCGATCCAGCTTGGATGGCACCAAATATCGTGATGGGACATGGTCGCAGGAATACGAGAAGATCCTGATGGGCCCGTATGACTACATGCAGCAGCATCCTGGTAAGGATATCCGGCGACAGCTCATCACAGCTTTCAACGTCTGGCTGCAAGTTCCTCTGGAGAGCCTGTCAATCATCACCAAAGTAGTGGGGATGCTTCACACCGCTTCGTTGCTGTAAGTCGCGGAATAAAACTCCCACTAGAATAGTCACTGATTTACGTCTCCTGCCAGGGTCGATGATGTGGAAGATAACTCCGCCCTCCGCCGCGGCATTCCCGTCGCTCACAACATCTTCGGTACCGCGCAAACCATCAACTCGGCCAATTATGTGTACTTTCTGGCTCTTCAAGAGGCGCAAAAGTTGAATAACCCCACTGCTATTGATATCTTCGTTCAGGAACTATTGAACCTGCATCGGGGTCAGGGGATGGATCTGTTCTGGCGAGACACACTCACCTGTCCTACCGAAGAGGAGTATTTGGAGATGGTGGGGAACAAAACGGGCGGTCTCTTCCGACTCGCGATCAAGCTGATGCAAGCCGAGAGCACTACCGGCATAGACTGCGTGAGCCTCGTCAATGTCATGGGCCTGACCTTTCAGATCTGCGATGACTATCTCAACCTTTCCAACAAGACTTACACCCAGAACAAGGGTCTATGTGAGGATCTGACCGAGGGCAAATTTTCGTTCCCTATTATCCACAGTATTCGCTCCAACCCACGGAACCATCAGCTTATCAATATTCTCAAACAGAGAACCAAGGACGAGGAAGTCAAGCTGTATGCGATTAGCTACATGGAAAGTACTGGCAGCTTTGCCTACACGAGGAAAGTGGTCCGAGAGCTGCGTGATAAGGCGATATCTCTCATCGACGAGATTGACGCACAGGGAAATGGGAAACAGGCCGAGGGGCAGCAGGATGGGGCGATGGTGCGGGCGATTCTCGGCAAGATCACCGAGTCGACTTTGCGGGATGATGTTAACGGCGCTAATGGCGGCAATTGAGAGTTTCGTGTCTTTTCCAGAGTATAACGACCTTATACCCAGAGGGTGGATACCCACATCATACCTAAACTAGGATGGCAGCATTTGGGTGGATTCGGATTGCATTGATGACCTCTGGCATTTTATGATAATGATGATGATTATTGGTCTACAAGACAGATTGGCGGTACAACAAATTGCAATATAATTGAGGTTGCCCTTTTGAGTGAGCATGCATTCAATCACTGTAATCTCTTGCATCATGATATCTTTGAGCT